CAGGAAGATTATATTGCCGAACAACATTTTACCAAGAAAGAAATTAGTAATTATTTTTTATAATGATCTTTTAGCTATGAAGAAGTACAACTGTAGACAAAATCAATGAATGAACAATTTCTGAATATATTTCCATAACGTAAAGCAATCATTGCGACCTTTTGGGGCACTTAGGATAATAAAATCATACCCCCTCTCAGACAGAGCTATACATAGACTTTTCTGCACCTGTCTTGAATATTTCCTACTTGTGATATATCTTAGCGATATTTACGTAGTTTAGAGTAAACTTATTGCAAATACTTTAAATAAACTATAATAACAGTCTTTTGTTGTCAATAAAGATATTCTTTAAGAAATACCTTCACTATTTTAGCATATATTTCAACACAACCATAGTAGAAAAAACAGCAAAAACAGACGTTTTATAACCAGCATTATAACCAAGATGAGAGGGTCAAGGCTGCAACCTGCTATGGGCAATTAGTGAACCCTCAAGCAAAAATCAACAGTACATTTTTATAAGAAAATGACCAACAATGTAACACTAAAAAATATAAAAATACATTTTAATAGTAAAACTACCAACAATAAATTTTATAATCTACAAAGTATATATATATATATATATATATTTCGATAAACGTGCAATCAATTTACAAATTCATGAATTATTCACACAAAAACAAATGCAAAGGTTAATGATTTAATTGGCGAGAAATCCATCGTCGCAAACAATTCAAATAATATACAAAAACCTCCGAATCCGTTATGAAGGAAAAGATCCTTGTTTCTATAAATTTCTGCCGCATTAGTTCTTATTTTTACTACAAGCTTTCGTCTGTTCCTACAGACATCTTCAGGTATGGAATAGATGTTGTTCTTGTTTTTTCTCTTAGTAATAAGAGAACAACGAAAATATATGTATTGTTGTATCCGAAGAATGATATTGGAAATGAGTTATTGTTTTTGGAGCGTTGCAGTAGCAACGCTGAGTATGATTTTAACGCTGAGTTTGATTTTAAATTGATTTTAAACAAGGATCTTTATATACCAGTTACAATTGACATCTGGGGTTGGTTTGAGTCCCATTGTTAAAGACAAGAGATCTCCTTGTGTAATCCACTCAATGTGATAAACACCAATCAAAAGACATTAAATATGCAGTTAGTAACATATCAAAAACAATTCATGCATGTCGATGACTGGTTAAATACAATTCACACCACATAAAAAATAACTCATGCATTGCGAAGACCGCTTAAATGCAATACACAACAAATACAAATCAACTCATGCATGACAAACATTAGATAAATGCAATGCTGAATAGATACAAAATAACTCGAGCATGACGAAGATGAATGTAATTTGCAACGCATATAAGCAATTTATATATGACCACGGCTGGTAAAATACAATTAGCGGTAAAAAAAAACACACATGCACTGTTGGTTAAATATTACATAAATCAGGAATGGTAGCGTAGATATATCATAAAATATAGGCGAAAGAAATCATTAGAAAAATTGTGTACTTTTTTTTTTTACTTTTCATTGAAGAATTTGAATACCCTAGTGAACAAACGGACCCATTAACTAAAACCCCTTTCAAAGGATACATGAAAAAATTACATGAGATGAGACATTTTAACTTTTCATTGAATTAAACAACATGGCGAAAAAAGAAAAGGGGGAAAAAAAAAAAAGAACAAAAAAATGGAGCAATTAACTACAACGGCTTAAAAAACATGAAAAAATTAAATGAGATGATAATTTTTACTTTTCATTGAAGTAATTGAGTACACTGGTGAACAAACGGATCCATTAACTAAAACCCCTGTCAAAAGAAACAAGAAAAAATACATGAGATGATATATATATATATATATATATATATATATATATATATATATATATAATATATATAATGAGAATAACAATGTTTATTATTAATACAATAATCTAATATAAACATGTGTCCCTGATCAGTGTGGTCATAATTTGAGAAAGAGTTATCAATTATAATCGTTAAGGAAATATATCAATGTATCAAGAATATATTCATTGCTGGGCTTTCAAAACTTAAGCGAAACTTGCTGAATCCATATCCGCATCACTTGATGTATAAATAGCTATCGTTTCAAAGTTATGTTGTATTGAATCGCACGGAATATATTCCTCGTAAAGATCTAATTTATTTTGCGAATCACGTTGCAATAAATTCATATGAGTGAGAGTGATCTAGCTAGCTACAGAGATAGATAATTAATAAACTGTTGCAGATAGATAGATAGATAGATAGATAGATAGATAGATAGATAGATAGATTTAACACGAAAGAAGAAATTCTAAAATTGAAATTTAAGCTGATAGTAATAAAATCACACATCATTTCCCTGTCAAAGGGTTTGAAATTGAAAGAGCTTAGAAAATATTCTTTTATAACTTACAGGATTCTTCTGTACTTGAAATAATTTCCCGAGTTCTCGTCTGAAGTTTTGACTGTAAAATCCGTACACAAACGGGTTCAATGCACTATTCAATGCCCATAAATTTAGGGACACGTGATAGAATATTGTCTCACCAAATGACATGGAATTGCTGGAGAAAAATCTCAAGACAACTTGATAAATCGTCAACGGCAAAAAACTTACAATAAACAAGAAAGTGACGATAAAAGTGATTTTGGTTGTTTCAATAATTTTTCGACGAGCTGATTCGCATAAAATATTCATGTCGTTTATCCTGACATTGGAGATGTGTGTTGTTTTTACATGTAAATAATATCTTCGAAGTCTTCTCCATATGAGACCGTAGAGTAACAGCATGGCCAATATGGTAATGATGGTTATAATGAATAGAAATCCCCAATAATATGGTTTAAATTCATTTTCTGGATCTTGTGTACATTCATAGCCCAGCAGATTTGTGTCTGGTATAATTATTGAGACTTTCTTATAAATAATAAAAGATGGCGTTCCAATTAGCGCCGCCAGAAGGGAGATAATTATAGCAACATAACGAGAGTGTTTTATAGAGAGAACTGTCATAGTCGGATGACATATTTTTTTGTAACGTTCCACGGAAATAATTAGAAGGGTTATGACCGAAGCCAATGTTGTGAAATAACCAAGTAATCCGGTAAATTTACAAAGTGTTTCGTTTGGATAAAGAAGTGGTAAGCGTAGAATTATTAAGCATAACGGCACTTCAACTGCACAACTAAGAAAATCAAATATTGCGAGGAGGGTAACAAAATACTGTACTGTAGTTTTCCTCCTGTGGCAACCATAGACATAAATGACTAAACCATTTCCTATGGCACCAGATAACATAAGAAATACAAGAATTATAAATGCCGGCATTCTGGAGACAAATTCCACATCGTTTAGTTCTTGAAGTATTTGAGAATTATTAATGAATGTTGAATTCATTTTTGACACTGGTTATAGATATTCAATAAACTTTAATAATCTGGTAAAAGCCAACCAGCGGTAAAATGTTTGATAATTCTGTTAATTTTATTTTCCAAGTTTTGGTAGGAGTTTCTGGTATCTTGAAAATCACAATTTTTCAGATTTGACATTTATTTCATGTTTTATTTTCTTTACTGTTGCTGGTTCTAAATAACTAAATTCAGGTTTAGTTATTTTCTACTGAAAATCTGGTCCCCAATGAGGTTACCTCACACAACAAGTACAGTATCAATTTATGTGTCCACAGTTAAACGTGTCTTCCGAAAATGTTCTAAGTTTCCTTTAAAGATAGATGAAAATATTCGGGTTTTATTTGTTAAGCACTTCTCTTGACTTTCGGAAATGTTAGTTAACATCAAACAGTTAACAGATAATAAAATCATTTATTTCTCAAGTAAAATTCATTCATACTGAAATTTTCAGTATAAATTCGCTTCGAAAATAATCTTTAAAATTCTCAGAAAATATTCAGAATAAATTTCACATTTTTTAAAAAAAGTCCAGTAGCGTTATTTTTGGTTTTGCAAGATTCCTACTTTTTTTTGTTATCTGGAAGAATATCCTCGAATCACGAAGAAAAGTCCATAAAGAAAATTTTTTTTTAATGTCTTCCATTCATAGTGTAGTATTAATATTATTTTTTTTGCAGGTGAAATTAAAATTTTAAATACACACAAAATAAATGTTTTTTCTCCTTGAAATGTTGTTTATTCGTAGATATAATCCAAATTTATGCGCGGAAGTAATAAATCGTTTTTGATCCAGATTTTATAAATATATTATTTGTAGGTTTTAATTACTCAGGCGAAATATAAATCCCTGCAGTTTTTGAAAGAAATTGACTTGACTTTCGACTGGATTTTGCAGAGAACCGCAAACTTTTTGAAAATTCTTATCCAGAATTTTTTCCTCTGTATCGATATATCTAAAAGTTTAGGCAATAAAGAAAAAAAAATCAAAATGTTTATGTGTCTCCTGTCAGCCTATATATTTCTGGGCTACTTATCTGATCTCGCTTAAAAAGCAGTTTCTTTTTAATCTACTGATTTTTCGCCAGCACTCATAGACAAATCCTTCCAGTCGACTCGCCAAAATTGACAATGACGCTTGCGTTTGAACAAGGAACATTAATAGAAATGTAGTTTCTATTTGTTGTTAAAATTGCTAAGGTTTCGAAATATGAACTCGATCGAAACATCCAGAATCAAGGAAGAAAAACTATAGTATATCCGCTTATCTAAATCCCTCGACACACATATCCACACTTTACATTATCTACGTATAAGTAATTAACCGTAATATGAATTCAAACATTGTCGAGGCACTTAAAGTGTATACGCCTGTTATTATCTGTTTAAAATATAACAATAACAAAGTCATTATTTACATTTTACTTTACGTTTCATAAGTGTTTTCTCATTGAAACTAATTCAGCTACAAAAACTAAATGTGAAGCAATACAGAGAAACGACAAATTACATCCTTTCCAGTATTAATTCATACAACTTTTTTCTTCGAATTCGTTGCTTTCATTTAATCTTTTTTGTTTGTGAAAATGAGATCCAACACTTAGTGTAGCTATCCCGACAAACAACAAAACAAAAAAACACCTACCTTGTTTAAGCTTATGCTATTGCTCACACTCAGCTATGGGTTAAATATCAGCGTAGATTTGGGATCAACAAGTTTAAGAGAAGCAAAATAAGTAATTCCAAACCAAAGATAAGCCACTTTCCCATCTTTCCTATGAATGTCTGGCAATTAACAGATAATAAAGAACAATCATTTTTCTAAGATAGTCATGATCGCCCAAGTCCCGAATGGACATGGCATTAAAGACAAATTTAACTGCCACCCACAGATATAGGGTAGACTGTTATATAAACAGATTTCCTAGCGGGAAGTGAAAACAGCGAGTCGGCTTTAAATTTAGGGCTAGTCTGTTGCGTTCACTGTCGTCAATTCTACCCTCCCGCCACACTGGATTAAATAATAAGGTAAACTGAAAAAATGAGTAGAGTGGAATATTGAACTGTTACGTGATATCTGCCCTTTTATATGGAAGCGAATGCTGGATAATCTCCTCAAAGATGAAGAGACTTGGAGCAATATAAATAAAGAAAGTAAAAACACTGATATTTAATAAAAAAATTAAATTCAAAAAACGTTCATAAAGGCTAATTGAAAAGTCTAGATAAATTATGGATGACTCTAAGGGACGTAATTTAATGCTTATTAAACAACTCCTAAATTACTCCTTTCTAACTCTAACAGACATGACTATACAAATGTAAAACGTTTCAAAGAAAACGATTAAATTAAAATATATAATAAATAAATTAATTCCAAACTAAAATAATATTCATATTAATTACATTATTTACAAAAAACAAAAAACAAAAAATAGATGATACGCTTTACTTTTTTCAGTCTGTTAAGTAAGTTTTCTACTGGATGAGAGAAAGAACTTTTTAGTCAATCCAAGACTTTGGAGAGAATCGGAAAAAAAATGATTCTTCTTTTAAAGAAATTTTTACCATTGAAACTTAAGATCGACGTGTCGCATCGTCTAGTCAATAATACACAAAAAACGTGATTATATGTTTATGATGGCCGTATACTGCAAGGCTATCTGTGAAATCTCGCATCAATTTCCCATTCGTCATGTCTTCACAGCACACAACCTAGATTTTGCCAACCAAAACTAAAGTTTTTTCATATAAATTCTATTTATAAAATACTGTTATTCATTTTCAATATTTTTTTATTTTTAAAGTTTCCAAATATCATCTCTATCGAGACAGCCAGGACGTAAGGAAGTCAAATAAGAGTTTTAATTTGAGTGGCTACTCAACAGATGAAATATTCCAGAGAATTGAAATCAGATTAACTCCATTTGTCGGTTGAGACAAAATCGTGAAAATTCCTCTGTTGAGTGGGTCATTTTAGATGAAGGAAATCCTGTTGGAAGACGACCGCCCATTCGTTCAATGCCGTATATCGATAAAAGCAATGAATTCAGCCGATATCAGCATGCTTAACCCTAGTGGAGCGGTGCAGTTTTTCATTTTGTTGTTCCTGTTCTCTGTAGTCGATAATCTTGATATCTTCTAGTAAAAGCTAATGAAAGTTACTGCCCGTAATTGAATATAACAAGCCCTATATATATATATATATATATATATATAAATATATATAATTAAACCTAGAGAGCCAGACAAAACTACCACGGTTTCGCCTAAGCGGATCGTCAAGGAAGGCTGGCTTCCCTCAAGGTCTTCTCTACTCATTGTATTGAGCACTTTATTTAGTTATTTTGCGTCCTTGCATCGGGTTTTTACTTTGGGCCTTGGATTTGCATGCAGGACGATTATTTTCGGCTAACGTACATGTTCTTGGTTCTTTCTTTTTTTATACATTTTCCCTTTGGTATTGGATTGTTTATTTGCAAATCAAGACACTGAAGGTTTTCCGAGTGAGTATAGTTTCTTATACTTATAAGATTTCTAATAATATATATATATATATATATATATATATATATATATATATATATATAGATAATATTAGTGGAAAATATACATACATATGAAAAATATATCTAAAAAATCCCATACATGTATATTTTCAGAAAAAATTTTTTCAAAGAGGAAGGATCCAGGTAGAACTCAATGTCTAGGACAGAGTAAGGATATAATAAAAAGGCTTAAACACTAATATTCCATGGTCATAATTTATTCCATTGGAATCGTAAATACGATCCAAATCATCAGACCTACAAATTCAAAATATATATATATATATATATATATATATATATATATATATATGGTAGTGGAGTAATGGATAGCGGCTGGATTAAGGAATTGGAGGGCCGAGTCGAATCCTTTACATTCATTTACGTGCTAATACCCTTGGGAAAGGTATAAATCCTTCCCGCTCCAGCTATGGGTAAATAGCAGGACAGACTGGGTTCTATAGCCTTGGATGGCAACTGGTCTAGGATAGGGACAACTCTGAATCCAAAACATGTGGAGAATCTTTTGAGTACCTTTTAGAACGTAGTTCACCAGGTCTCTGTATTCGGCCCTTCGAAAAGGATGATGGAAATTCTGTTGGAAGACGACCACCCATTCATTCAATGCTGTATATCGATAAAAGCAATGACTTCAGCCGATATCAGCTTGCTTAAACCCAGGGAGTCAGTGGAGTTTTCCAATAGGTGTTCAAAACAAGCGATCAACGCCTTCAATGCGATAAACGGCAATTAAGTTTAAATGTCTTTATAATCATTTTTCCCTGTTTTCAGTATTTCTTCTCCAAATATTCAGTTCGTAACAGATTAAAAATAATTCATGCACGTCGATGACTGATTAAATACAATTCACACCACGTACAAAATAACGACGGCCGGTTAAATGTATTCACAACAAATACAAAACAACTCAAGCATGACGAAGATGAATGTAATTCGCAACGCATATAAACAATTTATATATGACCACGGTTGGTAAAATACAATTAGCAGAAAAAAACAAACATGCACTGTTGGTTAAATATTAAATAAATCAGGAATGGCAGCGTAGATACATTATATACGAAAAGGAATCATGGACTTTTTTTTACTTTTCATTAAAGTAATTAAATACACTGGTAAACAAACGGATCCATTAACTAAAACCCCTTTCAAAAGAAACAAGAAAAAATACATGAGATGAAATAATAAAATGACAAAAGCGATGTTTATTATTAATACAATAATCTAACGTATCCCTGATCATCGTGGTTATAATTTGAGAAAGAGTTATCAATTATAATTGTTAAGGAAATATATCAATGTATCATGAATATATTTATCGTTGGGATTCCAAAACTTAAACGAAACTTGCTGAATCCATATCCGCATCACTTGATGTATAAACAGCTATCGTTTCAAAGTTATGTTGTATTGAATCGCACGGAATATATTCCTCGTAAAGAGCTAAGTTATTTTGCGAATCACGTTGCGATAAACTATTATAAGTAAGTGTGATCTAGCTAGCAACAGATATAGATAATTAATAAACTGTTGCAGATATATATATATATATATATATATATATATATATATATATATATATATATATATATATATATATACAGAGGCTGATAGATAAATAATTAACAGACTGATGCAGATAGATAGATAATTAACAGAGGGTGGTGGATAGATTGATAGATCGATAGAGAGATAGATAATTAAAAAAGGGTGATAGATGGATAAATAAATAACCAACAGACTGATTCAGATAGATAGATAGGTAGATAGATATATAAGTAATTAACAGAGGGTGATAGATCGATAGATCGATCGATAGATAGATAATTAACAGAGGTGATCGCGAGAGAGATAGATAACTAATAGAGGATTATAGTTAAATAAATAAATAATTAACAGACTGATGCGGATAGAGAGATAGATAGATAGAATTTTAGCAAAGGGTGATAGATTGATAGATCGTTCGATCAATAGAGAGATAGATAATTAACAGAGAGTGATAGATAGATAGATAGATAATTAACAGTGACAGATAAATAAATAACAGACTACTGCAGATAGATAGATAGATAGATAGATAGATAGATAGATAGATAGATAGATAGATAGATTTAACACGAGAGAAGAAATTCTAAAATTGAAATTTAAGCTGATAGTAATAAAAACACACATCATTTCCCTGTTTCGAAATTGAAAGAGCTTTGGAAATGTTCTTCAATGACTTACGGGAATCTTTTATAGTTTAAATAATTTTTTGAGTTCTTTTCTGAAGTCTTGGCAGTAAAATCCGTACACAAACGGGTTCAGTGCACTATTCAATGCCCATAAATTTAGGGACATATGATAGAATATTCTCACACCAATTGACATGGAATTGCTGGTGAAAAATCTCAAGATACCTTGATAAATCGTCAACGGCAAAAAACTTACAATAAACAAGAAAGTGACGATAAAAGTGATTTTGGTTGTTTCAATAATTTTTCGACGAGCTGATTCGCATAAAATATTCATGTCGTTTATCCTGACATTGGAGGTATGTGTTGTTTTTACATGTAAATAATATCTTCGAAGTCTTCTCCATATGAGACCGTAGAGTAACACCATAGCAAATATGGTAATGATGGTTATACTGAATAGAAATCCCCAATAATATGGTTTAAATTCATTTTCTGGATCTTGTGTACATTCATAACCCAGCAGATTTGTGTCTGGTATAATTATTGAGACTTTCTTATAAATAATAAAAGATGGCGTTCCAATTAGCGCCGCCAGAAGGGAGATAATTATAGCAACATAACGAGAGTGCTTTACAGACAGAACTGTCATAGTCGGATGACATATTTTTTTGTAACGTTCCACGGAAATAATTAGAAGGGTTATGGCCGAAGCCAATGTTGTGAAATAACCAAGTAATCCGGTAAATTTACAAAGTGTTTCGTTTGGATAAAGAAGTGGTAGGCATAGAATTATTAAGCATAACGGCACTTCAACAGCACAAGTAAGAAAATCAAATATTGCGAGGAGGGTAACAAAATACTGTACTGTAGTTTTCCTCCTGTGGCAACCATAGACGTAAATGACTAAACCATTTCCTATGGCACCAGATAACATAAGAAATACAAGAATTATAAATGCTGGCATTCTGGGGATGAATTTCGCATCGTTTAGTTCTTGGAGTATTTGAGAATTATTGCTAAATGTTGAATTCATTTTGACACTTGTTATAGATATTCAATAAATTTTAATAATTTGGTAAAAGCCAACCAGCGGTAAAATGTTTGATAATTCTGTTAATTTAATTTTACTATTGTGGTAGGAATTCCTGGTTATCTTGTAAATCACAATTTTCAAATTTAGCATTTATTTCATTTTTTACATTCTACACTGTTCCTGGTTTTAAATAAGTAAATTAAACTTTTTCTACTGAAAATCTGGTCCCCAATGAGGCTACATAACACAACAAGTACAGTATCAATTTATGTGTCTACAGTTAAACGTGTCTTCCGAAAATGTTCTAAGTTGTTTCCTTTAAAGATAGATGAAAATATTCAGGTTTTATTTGTTAAACACTTCTCCTGACTTTCGGAAATGGTAGTTAACATCAAACAGTTACCAGATAATAAAATCATTTATTTCTCAAATAAAATTCATTCATACTGAAATTTTCAGTATAAATTCGCTTCGAAAATAATCTTTAAAATTCTCAGAAAATATTCAGAATAAATTTCACATTTTTTAGAAAAAAGTCCAGTAGCGTTATTTTTGGTTTTGAAAGATTCCTACTTTTTTTTGTTATCTGGAAGAATATCCTCGAATCACGAGGAAAAGTCCATAAAGATAATTTTTTTTAATGTCTTCCATTCATAGTGTAGTATTAATATTATTTTTTTTGCAGGTGGAATTAAAATTTTAAATACACACAAAATAAATAATCAATTTTTTTCTCCTTGAAATGTTGTTTATTCGTAGATATAATCCAAATTTATGCGCGGAAGTAATAAATCGTTTTTGATCCAAACTGCAGTGTAATCTTCTGTATAATTGTTTCAGTATTTTTTATCCAAAAATCCTCTTCAAAATAAATTTTATAAGTACATTTAGGTTCTTATTACAATGGAGCGGTTAGGGTATTTTCCCGAAATCAGGTAAGATATAAATCCCTGCAGGTTTCCGAAGACTTTAGACAGGATTTTCCAGAGGTCTGGAAACTTTTTGACATTTCTTATCCAGAATTTTTTCCTCTGTATCGATATATCCAAAAGTTTAGGCAATAAAGAAAAAAAATCAAAATGTTTATGTGTCTCCTGTCTTCTGGGCTGCTGATCTGATCTTACTAAAAAAAAGCAGTTTCTTTTTAATCTACTGAATTTTCGCCACCACTCATAGACAAATCCTTCCAGTCGACTCGTCAAACGCTTGCGTTTGAACAAGGAACATGAATAGAAATTTAGCTTCTATTTTTTCTTAAAACTTATTTTTAAGGTTTTATGAAGCGAAACGACCAGAATTCAGGAAGAAAAATTATGGTATATCCGCTTGTCTAAATCACTGAACACACATATTCGCACATTTTATTTTTTACGTAGTAGTAATTAACCACAATATAAATTCAGTCATTTGCGAGAAAGTTTGAAGTATATATTCCTGCTATTATCTGTTGAAAATATGACAATAACAAAGTCATTATTTAAAACGTACTTTACGTTTTATTTGTATTTTCTCACTGAAACTAATTCAGCTATAAAAACAAAATTTGGGTCAATACAAGGAATTCCAAATGTGTATGTGTTTGTGTGTAACATTTCAGATATAACTAAAACTATAGATATTAAAATACAATATGTATAAAGGCAAAAGAGAAACTTATCATATCCGACGCGTTTTGTCCTCTGATGGACTTTATCAAGACAAATATAAGGATTTTGTTTTGTGACACGTATTTAGAAACAAAAGTAAAATCGTTGATAGTTTTTTAAAAAATTAAATTCAAGAAATGTCCATAAAGATTAACTGAAAAGTCTAGATAATTTACGGAGGACTCTAAGCGACGTAATTTAATGCTTATTAAACAACTCCTAAATTACTCCTTTCCAAATCTAGCCGACATGACTATACAAATGTAAAATGTTTCAAAGAATACGATTAAATTTATACCCTTATTTTATTTAAAATATATCATAAATAAATTCCAAACTAAAGTAATATTCATATTAATCACATTATTTACAAAAAACAAAAAAACAAAAGATGATTCGCTTTCCTTTTTTCAGTTTGTTAAGTAAATGATGTTGGGAAGACAATCACTTAAATAACCTTATATAAAAATGTTTTTGTAGTACTTGTTTCTTACTTTATTTTCAGAAAATAAATTATAAAAAAATAGCCGAATGTTTTATATATACAATCGCTTTCGGCTATACTTTTAGCCATTATCAAGTATGAATTTTATTTTACTATTAACTCAAATTAGAAATTTAAGTGAAAACACCATTGACACTCTAAAATTCTGTTGCCAAACTCATAACATCTAACAATACTGATGTAGGACCCTTGAAATCAAAAAAAAATTTTTTAGAGATTACTATCCATTATACGTATAAGAAAATGTTAAAATACACAAACCGGTTGTCCATTACGACTTATTATTTCACAGATCCCAAAATCTCTATACCAATTGTCAAATTTCTACAATGATATTATTACTACATATCTGTCTACCAATTGTAGCATGAAATCAACTCATGAATTTCCGCAAATCCTTAAAACCATAAAACCAAACCAGGGCATTCTGGCGTCACTTGATGTAGATAATGTATTTACATATGTCCCTGTCGATGAAACCATTGATATAATCCTCAATTCCGTATATAAAATAATTCAATTCCACCTCCATTCATCAAACCCAATATTCTCAAAAAAATTAACGCATGCCTGCACAACTGAAGACCCATTATACGAAAATAACGGGAAATTTTAAACTCAAACTTGTTGAGTATGTATGAGAAATCTTCTTGGTCCACGTTTCTTTGACTATTATATGTCCCACGTAGAAAACGAGGTATTTAAAAAAGTTACTAAGCCAAAAATATATGTCATCTATGTAGATGGTATTTTTATTTCAGCGGAAAAGAAAAACGAAAAAGCAAAAAAAAAAAAAAAAAAAAAAAAATTCTGTTCTCAACTTTACTAATGAACTTATCAAAAAAATAAACTACATTGGAGTCTAGTAGTAATACATTCACTACTTTGTTATATAAAAATCAACAAGTAAAACCTCTTGCCGTCTTAATTTTACTAGTCAATCTCCTCTCAGATATAAAATAGGTGCTATTAAAGGTTTCCATATTCAAGCGTACGAGAATTCATCCTCTCGTCCGCTTTTTTAAAAAAAAGAACCTCATAACGTAAAACAAACGTTTGTTAATAACGGTTTTCCAAACCATCTTCTAGATTACCATATTAGAATTTTCCTCCCTGATGTAACCAAAAACAATACTGAATACAGAGAAAAAAACCCAATAACATTAACATTTTCTATAAAAAATCAAATGCCTGTTAACTATATGACGATCCTTCACTTACAAACCTTATGTACAACTCCAGTTGACAAAAACAAGAAAATTAAATTAATGATTTATTGCAAAAAAAAAAAAATGAATCTATTAACCTGGAGAGAGTTCCATAAGCGAGAAGTGCAGGAGAAGAAACAGTTAGCGTAGAATTTAAGGTTGCATCAAGCCATTTAAAATTTAAAATTTTGATAATTTGCCGCCAATGATGATATGTTGCCATTTTAATTCATAAAGTTAAATTCATATATATTAGATTTTCGATAAAAATTTAGCTAAAACCTTTTTTAAACGATGTATTCAGTTTACATTAAAGTATACTGTGATATTTGTAACTAACACACACACGCATAGAAAGAAAGAAGGAAAGAAAGAAAGGAAGGAAGAATGACGAAAGAAAGACGAAAGAAAGAATGAAATAAAGAAAGAAAAAAGAAAGAAGATAAAAAGGAAAGAAAGAGAGAAAAAAAGAAAGAATGAAGGAAGAAAGAAAAAGAAAAGAGAGAAAAAGAAAGAAGAAAGAAAGATGAAAGAAAGAAAGAAAAAATAAAGAAAGAATAAGAAAGAAAATAAAGAAAGAAGATAAAAAGAAAAGAAAGAGGGAAAAAGAAAGAATGAAAGAAGAAAGAAAGAAAGAAAAACTAAAGAAAGAAGATTAAAAATGAAAGAAAGAGAGAAAAAAGAAAATGAAAGAGGAAAGAAAAAGGAAAGAAAGAAAAAAGAAAGAAGAAAGAAAGAATGAAATAAAGAAAGAAGATAAAAAGGAAAGAAAGAGGGAAAAAGAAAGAATGAAAGAAGAAAGAAAAAGAAAAGAAGAAAAAGAAAGAATGAAAGAAAGAAATAAAAAAGAAAGAAGATAAAAAACGAAAGAAAGTGAAAAAAGAAAGAAAAAGGAAAGAAAGAAAAAAGAAAAAGAAAGAAAGAAGGAAAGAAAGGAAAGAAGAAAAATAAAAAAGAAAGAAAAAGAGAAAGACGTTACAAAATGAAAGAAAGAAAGAATGAAAGAAGAAAGAAAAAGGAAAGAAAGAAAAAAGATAGCTGAAAGAAGGAAGAAAGAAAGAAAGAAAGAAGTTTAAAATAATGAAAGAAGAAGAAAGAAAACGAAAGAAAGAAGATTCAAAAAGAAAGAAAGAGAAAAAAGAATGAAAGAAGAGAGAAAAAAGGAAAGATAGAACAAAGAAAGAAGACAGTAAGAAAGAAAGAAAGAATGAATGAAAGAAAGAATGAATGAAAGAAGGAAAGAAAGAAAAAGAAAGAAAAAAGAAAATAGAAAAGAAAGAAAGAAAGAAAGAAAGAAAAAGAGAAAAAGAAAGGATAAAAGAAGAAAAAGGAAAGAAAGAAAAAAGAAGGAAAGAAAGGAAAATGTTAGAAAGAAAGAAAGAAAGAAAGAAGCAGAGAGAGAAAGAGTGATCCCACTTAATTAGAGCGGAACATATATTGAGCAATTTAAACGAATTAAACAGTCACCCATTTTCGGTTCACCAGAATTTACTTCTGTATCTTAATAAAGAATTTCAAAATTTTCCTTCTATCAGGTCATCCCATAAGTTCTGTCCGAATTTTGAATAAAGAAAACAAGTTACCAAATGTTACATTTAATTACAGATTCAATCAACAATGTATTTTCCCTGATTATTTATGACTTCCTTCTATCTATTAACAAGCTTACTAATTCCATTACTGTAAAATTCTTTCGGCTTTGATTCGAAGAACTCACAAATGTCAGTTTTAACCTCTTCCTGTGTTACAAAAGCTGTTTCTTCCAAATGATTCTGTAAGCTACGAAACAAATGGTAGTCTGAAGGAGCAAGATCGGGAGAATAAGGTGGATGAGGAATTTTCTCCCAACCAAGTTCTTCGATCTTTTATGACTTGATTTTTGCTGTGTGGGGTCGCGCATTGTCCTGATGAAACATCAACTCTTTTCGATTCACTAGAGCAGGTCTTTTTTCCTCAAAGCTTGGTTCAAACGCTCTAATTTCTGACAGTATATTTGAGCATTAATTGTTGCATTAGGTGGTAAGAATTCAAAGTGGATTATTCCTTGGCGATCCCACCAGGTTGAAAGAAGAAGCTTTTGCCCATGAAGTTCCCTTCTCGGCTGTGGCTGGGGTCTTTCCCCATTACCAAGCCACTCTCTACAACGCTTAACATTTCGATAAAAGATCCATTTTTCGTCGCTAGTCACAAGTCTATCCAAAAAAGGTGAAACAAGTTGGCGAGAATGGAGAGAAGAGCAGATGTCAACTCGGGATTTGAGGTTGTTTTCAGACAATTCATGAGGCACCCATTTTCCAAGTTTAGGAACTTTTCCAAGTTGTTGAAGATGACGGCGAACAGTTGTATGGTTTGAACTGAGAACCACTGCCAATTCCTCAACTGATAAAGCAGGATTTTCTTCAAGGGCTGCTTCAAGAAGCGTTTCATCAAACTCAACTGGATGTCTAGTTCGATCTTCATCTTCAAGGGTGAAATTTCCACCACTGAAATTTGCAAACCATCTTCTGCAAGTTTTTTCATTCACACATTCCTCTCCATAAACTGAGTGAATGTTTCTAGCCACTTCGGCTGCTGAGTTTCATTTCTTGAACTCGTAAAGCATTATGTGCCTCAAATGATGCTTGGGTACTTCCATGTTAGCAGGGTTTTAATCAAACAAAATGTTAAAATTTGGACAGAACTTATGGGATGACCTGACACATATTCGATATATTCAATAAATTCTTGAAGTTCTTTTAAAAAGTGCTTATTTTCTCATATCGGATTTTTTATTTTATTTTTGCGTTTCTTTTTTCACATAGGTTTGTTTTGGCATCATAGGTGTTTTCAAATAGTAGATTTTTTTAATTTAACTTGATTTTTTCACATAATTTCATAAATGTCTCTATTGTGTATTATCGTGACAAAGAATTTGAAAGAAACCATTACTTGATTCCTTTCTGCAAATCTGGGCGCAGGTCATATCGCCTTGAAAAAAACGGTGCCCGTACGATCATCAGAGTTAAAAAAACGTCGTGCCTGGTCATTACTGAGATGGGTGATCGCTTGGGAAAATCCAGTATGTGCGTGTGGTGGATTTGATAATAGATCTGAATTATTAATCGGGAAGCCAACGCCTAATTCTAATTTTGTTTCGTTATACTTACTTATGAGCAAATACTCTTGGAAAACTCTTCTCCCCCAGCTATGGGTTAATTAGTATGACTTGTATCAGTAAATCATTATTATCTCTAAAAAAAACATTTTACAATCTAAAAAAATACTTTCTGTCTTTAAATAGCCTGCAGAGGGTTGATAAGTCGTAAAAAACGACTCAATCACACATGTAAATCTGAGCACATTTCATTCGCCCAGACAGCTTCTTAATTTAAAAAAGATATTTTTGCGACATCATATTTGTAGAGTTTTGCGTTTTTGCATGATTTATATGACATATTTAATTGTTCCGATACCCGGAACACATTTCTCGGCATATACTTCATGATTCTATGTGATTAGTTTGCGATTATGTCAGCCATAACTAAATGGTATCTTTTTTTACTTATACTCAACCATGTGTACGAGTTCGTTGCCAAATTAAGTGTAGGACATGATTACATTTAGGTTTTGTTTTTTGACAGTTCGTGCAATTCAACGGATGCTCGAATTAACAGTCGGCATAATTGCCGGAAAACGGCATGTATGTGTGAATATGCGTCATTATCACTGTGCTTATAAACATGCCATTGCATATACAACTCAAACAAGAATATTAAAATATTCAAATTAATAATCCTCGAAGTACACACAAACACACATGCACACACACACATGCACATACACACATATATGTGTCTGTGTTTGTGCGTGTGTACACTGAGGTCAACAACGACTTGTAATATACGGAAATATATTCGTGAATATGAAAGGATTATGAAGAGAATTTGCTTCCTAAATACACACGAGCGCGCGCGAGCACGCACACATACATATATATATATATATGTATGTATTTAATCAACACCATATACCAGTAGAGTTGAAAAAAAAAATTAATTTTTGTATTGATGCTATTACAAGCATATGTTATAATTTTGAATATATATACATATATATATATATATATATATATATATGAATGTATGTGTATAATCGACATCAATAAACACCATCACTTGATAACACCAGTAGTGTTGAAACAAAATTGCAATTTTTGTAGTGATGCTATAACATGCATATGTTATAATTTTGAATATATATATATATATATTATTTAATAATGGCTTATGTAAGCCGAAAGCTTAGATCGATTTAAAAAAATATGGATCAATATTGGGAATTTCTTTCTTCGTTCAACGATAATGTTATTAAACTTATCAGACGTTACGGAAAAAATTATATATATATATATATATATAAATATATATATATGTATGTATAGAAGCTAAGCACTCTCATAGCGCTTTCAGTGTTTACGACTTGGCAACTTATTCAGTAATATCCAATTAATGAGATGGCAAATATCTATAAGGATGTTGCAATCATCGCATATGAGGTGTTTGCTTATCGTTGTTTATAGGCAAAATACCCAACCCCCCTCTCTATACCTATTTGCACATATCTTCGTGTGTGCATTCCCAAGATAGCCTCAATTGTTATTATGCTTCCTACATACGAAAAACAAAGAACACTCAGCAATATATATGCATATGTAAGCAAACATATGTCATGCGGATACATAGATAGATAGTTATGTAGACAGATAGACACACAGGCATACATATATAGACATAGATAGATAGATAGATAGATACGAATAGACATAGACATAAATATACATAGATCGACAGATCGAGAAATAGCTCGTTAGATAGACAGATAAATCAGTAATTCTGTAGCATACTAATAAAAAAAAAACGCGACATATATTACTTTTAAGTATAATGTCTTTCCTTGTCAATGCACTTAGTCCAGCGAAGAATATTAATAACAAACATCTAGTATGTCTATCTGGAAACGTCGGTACATATCTCAGGCTGCGGACTTATTGACCCAGCTGTGCATACACACACGCGGGTGCGTGCACACACACAAATATAGTGATTTTCCAAGCGTAGCTTAGATGTGGCACAAGGCCGAAAGTATGGGGCACCCAGTGAGGATCGAACTCACTACTCAGTCGTAATTGTTCTAACATAACGAGACCAGCTTGCTAACCATTACACCCTTATATATACATATATATATACACACACATATATATATATATATATATATATATATATATATATATATATATATATATATATATATATATATATATATATATATATATATATATATATATATATATATATATATATATATATATGTGTGTGTGTGTGTGTATATGCGTATGTGTGTGTATGGACAGATTCCTTGTGGTGGGATGGTGTGTATGTGCGTATGTGTGTGTGTATGCGTGTATATGTACAAATGAGTTTACTAATCCCTCGTAGTAAGACAGTATATGTATGGAGGGGGAATATATGCACGCATATATACACGCATGCTGACAGATACACACGAAAATGGAAAACAGATCCAAGAACACATAAGGGTCAGTAAATCATTAAAAGATAAAATGCCGATGAGTAATTCATCATTTCTCTTGGACCAACCTTAATTGTTTTATGACCCTTCGCGCAGAACTCTTCATTGCCAATTCAAGAGAGAAATTCGGATTACTAACACAAAAACAGAAAATGTCTCATATCGAGAATATTTAACATTGAAAAACATAAGGAAAAAATTAATTATTTTTAATAATATGAGGAAATCTCCGCTTTTACCTGAAGACGGTCGCGAGACCAGAAACGCGTGTAGTAAAATTATGGAAAACAAAGTATAATATTTTTTTCTAAATAAATCCACATTACAACCAAAAACGTTTGCGGCACCTCTTTTCTCTTCTTTTTAATATATATATATATATATATATATATTTAAAAAGTATCGCTGGATTGCCACATTTCCTATCAAGCATGAACCAGACTCTCGTGTTTGGGTGGTCGTTTCATAAATTTTTCGAATCAACGATTTATAGATTGACTTTATTTTGTCTTTCATATCCACTTTCTCTTTCCCATGTTTATCTACAAAATGACCACTCTTTTATTTATCCTTATCTTTATATATTTATTTCGATGATTGATCAGCTCCTTTATTTGTTCGTATTTAAAGTCAATGGTGCATCTTCTCTTTCAATAAAACAGAAATCCAGGAAACCTTTTGAACAAATACACAATTTCTCGACCATTGTAGGTCATGAAACCTGAGGCTCTTACCCGTTCCATATGCTAAAAAAATACTAGAAAATGTCTTTTTTTTTAAAGCATTTCACCCCAAGCAAGGCGGGAAGCCACTATCACTCAAGGGGTTACAGAGAGTTGGAGCG